GCTATATAATATGTAACAAAATCTTTTATACTATTGCATATTATTTGATATATACATATATCAAATTTTAAAGGGAACTAACCAGTATATTAATCATGGTCATCTTTCAGCAATGAAATTTGAAATTTCAGGTATAATTTATTTTATTTTATTCTTTATACTTTATCATCTATTGAGTTTTAAAATAAGAGTCAACTATTATTTGTAGGACCTGTAAGAGAAAGCCATTTTTTAAAGATTTATTTATTTATGCATATAAGAGCTGGGGTGTAGGCCAGAGGTGCAGGGAGTGAGAAAGAGTAGGGAGACAGAGACAGAGTGGGGAGCAGAACAGGCAGATCACACTGCAGAACACACTGGTGAGGGGAGCAGCAGGCGAGACAGGAGAGGTCTGCTGTGCCATGTGGGTCAGCTACCTGGCAGGGGATGGAACTCGTGCTGCAGTGGCTCCTGATATCTTCATAGTGCTGAGACTATGCACTGCCACGAGGGAGGCCCCAAGTGAAAGCCATTTTAAAAATTATAAATCAGAGACATACTGCAGGGGAGGAGGAGAGAGAGGGATCAGAGGGAGGGAGAGAGAACAGGGCACTTTGGTGATGGTGCACGGGTGCATTAGTGAAGAGGGAAGAAAATATTGTTTAAAAATTGGAGGAAGCAAATATTGTTTAAAAATGAACAATGGGGGTCTCCCTGGTGGCGTAGCAGGTTGAGCACAGCGCTGTGAATCTGTCCACATCCTCTGCAGAGCTGGTTCGATTCCTAGCCGGCCAGTGAGAAACCCACATGGCGCAGCAGACCTCTCCTGTGGCGCCTGCTGCTTCCCTCAGCAGTGCTTTCAGTCCGTCTGCCTGTTCTGCTTCCCACTCTGTCTCTGGTGAATCCTCTCACCCTCCTGTGCCTCTGGCCTGTACCCCAGCTAGTGTATAAATAAAAAACAAATCTTTTAAAAAATGAACAATTGATGTAAAAAATAAAAAATTTTAAAAAATATCTCTTACTTCCAAATGTATGCCCTCTGTGAGTAGGGCATAAGGGAAAACAGGTGACCCTGGTATAGCAGAGTGAATGGGCTTATGAGATCAGGACTAGGAAGGACCCAAGAGCAGAACTTCGGAAGGTCCTGGGTGACATCAGCAGGGGCAGACACCCAGTGAGGCAAGAGAAGGGTAGAGACAAACAAGCTGGAAGTTGCTAGATGCCAACCTCACCTACTCTATCCCTGAGCACATGCCCAGCTTCTGTCACAGCAGGAGTCCCACCTGGCAGGAACTAATCACTTTAAAGAGTGGCTTTCTGCTTTCATAAGGAAGGGAAGAGAGAGGGGGGAAAAAGCAGTAACTACAATAAAATTTACAGTGCTTATTGGTAGTTTGGTAGTCATTTTTCCCTTCAAAGTATCATAATGATGATTAACTATAACAAGTTTTCATTAATAAACACAATGAGTGGAAGGAAACATTTTCTAGAGGACTGTGGACTATGACTGTAACTGATGTTATCAAGAGGCTTATCAGGCTTAATATTTTTCATGATTAGACATAATGTCACATCCCTATCCCCTCTTGCTTTGTCAAGATCTTTTTCCCCTGCCTCTTTCCCTAAGAGTTAGCACAGGTTGTATTGTGTCCCATCAATAAAACTTGCCAATTCTCTCAAGATACCCCTTTAGATGATTTTTTCTTTCTAGATTTTTGAGATCCTCTCCTTCACCTCAATCCTTTACACATAAGGGTGGTAACAACCCGATGCTGCTATCCCAGGGTTTTTTTTTTTTTTTTAAGATTTTTTTATTTATGCATACAAGAACTGGGGTACAGCCCAGATGTGCGGGAGGGTGAGAAGATTCACCAGAGACAGAGTGGGGAACAGAACAGGCAGACAGACTGAAATACACTGAGGGGAGCAGCGGGTGAGACAGGAGAGGTCTGCTGCGCCATGTGGGTATCTCCCTGGCCAGCTGGGATCGAACCTGTGCTGCAGAGGATGCGGACAGCCCCACACCGTGCTCAGCTGCCTGTACCACCAGGGGAGCTTATCCCAGGGTGATTGCACTACACTTTCCCCAGGTCCTTTCCCCCTCTTCTGTAACAGATACAACCCTCTCCCCAAAGACAATCTTCCCATATGTATTGCCTGTTTCAGTAGCCTCTAGCTGCACGTGGGTATTGAGCATTTGAGTGTTAGCATGTGCCTATAAAGAGTTGCTGAAGTGTAAAATACTCACTGTATTTTGAAGACTTGGGATGAAAAGAAAGAACACCGAAGACCTCAATGATGTTTATACTAACAACATGTTAAAATCACATTTTTAGCTATAAGAGATCTATTACTAAAATGAATTTCATCCATTTCTCTTTACATTTTAAAGGTGGCATTTAGAAATTTTAAGTGACTTTGAGGCTTGCATTTGTGGTTTACATTTTATTTTTACCATACAGAGTACCTCTAGATGTTGTGTGAATGTTCCACTATGCATGGGTCTTTAACATTCACTTAAAGGAAATGACTTACTGTTAGTGACAGCATAAATGCAGAATATCCTAGTTTTGTCCCCTGGAAGGGAACCTGGAGATCATTTTCCAGATGAGGAAACCAAAGTATTTATGGGATTGTATATGATTTCAAAATAACTTCAAAATGGCTGTTGTCTTTTTTACTGCAAATCAGACTGGAATACCTAGAGAAAAGTTTTAGAATATCTTAAAGTTCAAGTTAGTATTAAACCTCAATTGGTTTGTCAATATCCTAATGAATTTTGGGACACAAAGAGGCATTAAAAGTTGGCAGGACCTGCTGTCCATCCTCGTAAAAGCCCAGTTTTATGGCATCAAAATCTAATTAGGTCTTTTCTCTGGTTTGGAGAGTAGATTGGGACTGATACTTCCTAAAATCACTCCCAGCAAGCAGTGTGTATTCATCAGGGTATTAATACGCCAGTTTGTCCAACACAGAGTTAGCACCACTAGGTCCCTTTTGAAAATTTAACAAGGCCTTCCCTAACTTTTAAGTCCATAGGTAAATAGAGTGCAGGAAGGCAGGAGAGAGAGGAATGTTGCCTAGTCTCAACACCTGACAGCAAGAATTCTTGAGTTTCTTGCTCAACATGGATACTGTCTGTTGCAAGCCCTGAGTAGCACCAAGAATGAGCCCAGATAGTTACCTCCGCACTTACAGGGGTTGTCGACAACCCACCAGGCTACTGCCCACAGTGGAGGGCATCCTGCTGGGACAAGGAAGCCAAGAAATGAGGAACAAATCGCTTTGGGGAAAGAGTAAAAAAAAACACCACACCACCTCCCACAGGTTCCACGGGCCACCTCCCTCCATTAAACAGCAAGGCGAATTGTATCCCCTCCTAATCTACTCTCCAGGGAAGCACATGAAAAGGATATAGGGTCAGGGGAGGCAAGAGCATTAGGAAATTACTGTTTAAGAAAAGATTCTGACTCTCTCTCTCTCTCTCTCTCTCTCTCTCTCTCTCTCTCTCTCTCTCTCTCTCACACACACACACACACACACACACACACACACACACACTCAGTACAAACATCAAACACTCCTGGGCATGGGTCTCCCTGGTGGCGCAAGGGGTTAAGCATGGCACTATGAAGCAAACCGCCTCTGCAGCACTAATTCGACCCCCGGCCAGCCAGGGAGCAACCCACATGGCCCAGCAGACCTCTCCTGACTCCCCCGCTGCTGCTCCCCTCAGCAGTGTATTTCGGTCAGTCTGCCTGTTCTGTTCCCCACTCTGTCTCTGGTGAGTCCTCTCACACACACCCCCCACCCATCTCTGACCTGTAACCTAGCTCTTGCATGCATAAACAAATAAATCTTAAAAAAAGAATTCCTGGGCAAATGAATTTGGAATCAGAGTTGACAATTACATATTGCTATATATTAAATCTATGTAATCCTAACTTTCTCCCCTTGATCCTTGATTTATGCGTTGGCTGGTTTCCTAAAAAGTTGGTCCTTTCTGATTCTGCGCATCTCCTGAGCACCCTAAACTAATACAAGGCGAAAGAGTCAAAAGTGGAAAACCGTCGCGGGAGCAAGGCCGGGCTCCAGGACCCGCGGAGGGCCGCGGCCGCCCGGCTGCAGCGGAGGAATTCCGCGCGCCCCGGGAGAATGGGGGCGTGGCGTCCCGCGCGGTGCGGGGAACTGCGGCGAACAAAACTTCCTCAGGTTCCGGGAGGTGGCGCGGGCCGGGGCCGGGGCCGGGGGTGGGGGAGCGTGAGCGAGAGAGGCGCGTGGGGAGCAGAGCACCCGGACTTGGAGGGTCTGGGTTGCTCAGGGCTGAGCCGAGTCGGAGGGCCCTGGAGGTCCCCACAGGAGCGAGGTCTGGCTGGCTGGGAGCCGCGCCCCCGGGGATCCCGCTGGCCCTCGCCGTCAGCCAGACGACCCAGGAGTCGCCGCAGCCCCCAGCTCCGCTCCGAGGGGGGCGAGGCTGGCCACGCGGGGGGCGGGGAGTAGGGGACAGGGGCGCGGGGTGGAGTGGGGAAGGGGCGTAGACCAGCCCCTCCCCGCCCTCTCGGATGTCATTGGGCCGCCTCTGCGGGTCGGCACCACCTTTTCTCCACCCCCCGCGCCCGGGGTGCTGGCCCTGCCCCTGCGCCGCGGTCCGCGTCCGGGGGCTGGTCCGGCCGGGCCGCTGACGTCACCGCCAAGTTTGCTGCCCTCGGCGCCCCACGTGTGGCGGCGGCCACGGCCGGGGAGGCGGCGGGGGAGCGTCTGCGAGCACAGTGGCGGCAGAGCTGACAGGTCCCGCCAGCCCGACCTCGCCACGCCGCTCGCAGGTGGGGCGCGAGAGCAGTTTGAGGCAGCCCCGTGCGCACCTGGAGGGGTGAGCCGCTCGGCGCGGGTCTTCTGGCTCCCGCTCGGGCAGGGCCACTCGGGGGAACCCCGCTCCGGGGCGGCACGGACCTGAGCGCGGGCGGAGAGGGCGCGCGCGGGCGGGCCAGGGCGCCCGAGAAGCAGGGGCTGGGCGACGCGGTCGCTCCCGCTGCCTGCGGGCCGGCCGTCCCCGAGCCAGAGCCGCACGACCCCTTCATCCGATCCGAGCGAGGGATGCACGACCGCTGAGCGGAGACCTGCGCGCCGAGGACAGCCCGGCCCGACTGGGAGGCACGCTTGCGCCACCGCCGCCAAGACCCCCCATTCCGGCCATTCTCGGGGAACTGGGGCGCCGAATGCTGCCCCGAGGCTCAAGACTTGGGCGAGTCTAAGACGATGGTTTCTTAAGCACGGCACCACGTTCCCCTCCCCGTTCCTCGACCGGAGGCAGGGATCCCGCGCGCGCGGGGCTCCCGGGGATCGGTCTCCCCGAGGAGCCCGGCTGCCGTCTCTCGAGGCAGTTCGCACGGCGGCGGGGACGCACAGGCGATGTAGCCTCCGTCCAGCGCTCAGGCCTCCTGGAGGATGTCATGGCACCTGGCGGGGTCCCGGCCTAGCATGGCCCGCGCGCTGCCAGACGTCGCCTCCGGCTAGGATGACCCCTCCGGGCCCCGCCGGCGCCCACCCCACCTCGGCAGAGCCGCTGTCCCGCAGCATCTTCCGGAGGTTCTTGCTGATGCTCTGCTCCCTGCTCACGTCCCTTTACGTCTTCTACTGCCTCGCCGAGCGCTGCCAGACCCTATCGAGCCCCGTCGTGGGGCTGTCAGGCGGCAGCGAGGAGGCGGGGGCCCGGGGTCGCGGCGTCCTGGCCGGAGGCCCGAGGGAGCTGGCGTTGTGGCCGGCGGCACAGAGAAAGCGCCTCCTGCAAGTGCAGCATTGGCGGAGGCGCAGACCGTCCGCGCCGCGCGGCGAGGGTGAGGAGGCGGCCTGGGAAGAGGAGACCCCTGGCCTGGCCGGGAGTCCCGGTGGCTCCGGGGCGGGGAGCAGTGTGACCGAGGCCCCGCCGGGGACCCTGGCCTTGCTGCTGGACGAGGGCAGTAAGCAGCTGCCGCAGGCCATCATCATCGGCGTGAAGAAGGGCGGCACGCGGGCGCTGCTCGAGTTCCTGCGCGTGCACCCCGACGTGCGCGCCGTGGGCGCGGAACCCCACTTCTTCGACCGCAGCTACCACAAAGGCCTCGCCTGGTACCGGTGAGCTGGTGCGGGGCACAGCCCGGGTCAGCTAGAGCTCGGGTGGGGGTGGGGAGTCTAGGTGGAGGGGAAGCTGGAGAGAGTCGCCTCCCTCCCCATTTTATGCAGAAGGCCACGGGTCATCAACTGACCTTACTTTGAGGACTGTTTTATCCACCATGCTTTCTCTTCCCAGGCAAGTGGGTGTTGAAGCAGAGGGTGGGAGGGAAATATTGGCCTTAAAGCTTTTTTCCTTAGTCCTTGGGATTCCCCCTACGCCCCATGTAACCAATCTCCATTTTCCTCCTGCTCTCTGGAAGTATTCAAGTTGTTGGCTAAAGGAAAAATCCCTCCTAAGTTCAAAACCTGTTCATCAATTACTGGATAGGTAACCTAGTCAGTCCTTTCCCCCAGGAAGCCTGTTTTTATTTCTTTTTTATCTTCTGGGCAATCCCCTGTGGTTACCGCAGGCTTTGCCCTCCGGTATTTATTTACCTTGACCCTTTGCCAGATCACTGCAGTAGGTAATACCGATATTTAGTAAAAGTGCAAGAAACAGAAACTAGGTAGTTGGGAAATATATGTCCAGACAAGTATCAGCAACCAGTCACCCTGTTTTAAACAGTGCTTCCCTGGCAATAACTTTTGTTTGGGACCAAGAATGAATTTTGTCAAGTGCTTTCTCTGTTTATAGGAAAGAGTGCCATTTGTCTCTGGGTTGGCAGAAACTTTTCTAAAGATCTTCATACAATTGTCTTTACAAATGATGTAGCCAATATTTTTTTTTTAAAAAAGGAAGAAAAGTGGTTTTACTTTGTGAAAACCCTCCTAAATGCAGTTTTAGATCTTAATCTTAAATCTGCCAGTCTTCTCAAATTCAGACCACCTTAAATAATAGAATAGAACCAGCCAAAGTCTAATAAATCCTAGTGTCACCTGGATTTTGTTGGCCATAAAAAAAATTGGCCTTTTTTCTTGCCTCTGAATACAATGTTGCCGGAATTTTCATTTTTATAAAGTTTTACCTGCTTCATTAAATATGTATTCTCCTGGTTATTTTAACTGTGGCAATGTTACAAAGGTTACAACACAATTTATACAAATTTCAAAAACCCACTAAATTAGCCATTCATCCCCCAATGGAAATGGACTTGATCTGACCAGTTTATTTACTCCAGAGGTCAAGCACACCCGCAGATTGAGTTCAGGAACCAAATTTACAGTAATCCAACTCAGGAGAAAACATTTGGAAAAGTCAAATTCAAACATAAAACACTTAAAACAGCAACTTTCCATTTGTTGGAAAGAAAAACAAACACCCTTTCCTTAATATATAATATATATCATTTAAAATCATGAGCCACTTAAAAATCCCCTTGTGTTTCTGTCATTTATGTTGTATCCTCTGGGAAGTTCTTACAAAAATGACCTGTTGAATCTGGAAACAACAGGTCCTTCTTTTTAGCACAAAGGCAGCTCTGTTTTTTCCATCAAGGACACAAGAACCGAGTGATTAAAGACCCCTAAAAGTCTTATCTATAGCAGTTTGCATTGAATTTGCTCTCGTACAGTGTTATAAGTGAACGCATTTCAAGCCGACTGCCTGAAATATTTCAGACAATGTTTGACTCTGAGGTACTATTAAAATATGGTGAAATATTTAGTATTAAGTCCTTTATTTTCATTTTGCGATTAGACTTTATTTCCACAAAGTAGGATTGTTTCTTCATAATCCAGAAATGAGTATTTGAGAGCACAGTCTATCTACAAACCCGGCTCGCTCTTTTCTATGGACCTTTCTGAGCTCGTATAAGGGAAGGAAGCTTTCAAGGTAACTAGAAACACAAGTATTTTTTTTAAAAAAGAGAAAGAGTCATAAATGTTTAGGCCACTCTCTTGCTTGGAAAGTGGGTGCATGCTGTAAAGTAAATCTCTCTGTGGATTGTTTACTTCAGCAGAGGAGTTCTATAAAGCAATTTATGGTGGTTACAAAAATAACTGCAGAGTAGACTTCATGGTTTGGTGAATTTAATTTTCTAAGTGTTGGAGCAATGTCTTTGTTTTACCATTTGCAATGATTTTTATTGGATACGTAAATTTAAGTTTAACTCAATTACAAAAAAAAAATCCAACCTATGGAGCCTGGATTATGTGATTATTTAATGAAATTTTAGCACTGTCTTTCATCTTGGTTCTGAACTTGGAGTTTGATGTTTGGAAGAAAGGCTGAAGACTTAACTATGAAAAAGAAATCCTACACAGAATGTCATATGATTATAAGTGTGTTTTAGCTGATTGTTTTTAGCCAGTATTTTAGGATGGGGGATTCAGGTAGAACTTCCTTAATCAGTCCCAAACTTGCAATATAGGATTTCTGTCTCTCTCTCTCTCTCTCACACACACACACACACACACACACACACTCAGAAAGACATTTCCGGTATTTGCACCCAAAGTGATTTATGAAAGAAGAAAATCTGTATATTTGCATGACAGAATCATAACTGCCTAGGCTTGTTTTTTTAGCTCAGTTTGCCATAATAGTTTATAGTGGCAGTGCCCCCTACTGTCCTGCTATTAGGAAGTTTGAAGAAAATCCCTTGGAGGATGAGTTTGAGAATTAAAAATGACTACTGCTAGGATGTTTCCATAACTTTCTCCCACTGGAAAAAAATAAGTACTTAAAAAAGCTGCTTTTCAAGAATAGTATAATCATCAGTCTCTTCATTTGAGCAAATTTACAGTAAATGCTAAGAAAGAGAATTTATTCAAGATCTCTAAAAAGGAAATCATTCTTATTGATTTAAAAGGTCCTAACATTACTCTAAAATAAATGAAACAGAGAGTATACCAGCAAATTTATTATCGATAATTTAGAACAATTCAGTGGAGTTCTCTGAATATGGAACTCCACCCTGTTGGGGTTTAAAAACATTCCACATTACTTAATTTAGCAGACATGATATCAGTACAACAAATGTCTGTGGCTTACATGTCATGGGAAAGCAATCCTTTGCAATGAATAGTCTCCATTTTCATTGAATGTGTGGTGGGTTCATAAAGGAAAACAGCTTCGAAACATTGAGATCTTTTCTGGAAGTCAAAACCAAATGCCTATCTGGTAATTCAAGGGGACATGAGCTTAGAATTTAATATGAAGACCTCCTCTCCGCCTGTGTATTCTGTACCAACTCAAAGTGTGTTTATTTTTCTTAAAACAAAATATACCTACTATAAAATATTTAAAGCTATGAATGAATGTGTGTATACCCACATAAACACATGTACACATCATATATACATAAATAAGTGTTTGGCTTCTGTAACACTTTATTTTTTTGTAAAAGTTAGTAAATGGTCATTATCTAATCTTTTATTACTACTTCTATTTCCTTTATTTAGTAGAACTGGACAATTTCAGCAGGGGAAAATATTGCTAAAATTATTTTACCCTGTAGCTTCTAGAAAAATGAAAGATTACACAACTTGGAGTTTAGAAGTTAGTTTTCTCCTGACTTCATCAAGATGGAAGTTTTGTGGCCTCTAGTGATCATTGCCTTGTATTTTGAGGACATGGGAGAGACGAACTCACAGAGGAACTTTCGGGAGAAATCGGCATTTCATAGCAGCTGGGAGCAGCTGCAAAGTACCTCCATGTGCAGTTTCCCACCCTCCTGAGCCACAAGTCCATTTTGCATGAAGGGTTGGAAATGAAATTTGAGCCAAGGGAGCTGCAGAGTCTGGCCACCCATGCAAGGTCATATGGACTGAAGTCCAAAGAACTGCCTGTCATTAGAGCAGAGTTAATAATGTTGGGAAGCGATGAAGGCTAGGAGGAAAGAGGAAAGAAGTTGTTTTGGACCCTGAGTCTATGTTACATGTGTACAGAGGGAGAGGGTATAATTTCTTTCATGCATATAGTTCCCAAGAGGTCCCAGGAGTGACTGGACACTTCCCATCTAGTGAGAGGTTGCAAGCAGCCCCTTAGGAGAAGCCACAGGGCTGTCATTTTGTTTGCAGAATGTTTGGTCCCCGGGCTCATCTTCCCAGTGGACGACTCCAGCAGTACAAGTCACACAGCCTGGTTCTTGTGTATGGAGCAGACGTGAAGTAGGTGGGGAAAGTAATGGATTGATAAGAGGAATTATTAAGTGGTTGGGAGACTTCTGAGCATTCTCAGACACCCAGGGTAGGAACAGACTTTGGGACTATTGAGTCCAGGCATTCATTACAAACAACCGTTAACAACAAAAAACACATTATTATTCCAGGTATAGCCTGAACTTGGAATGCCTTTATGTGAGTAAATATTCCTTTATAGTAATGAGACTTATACTGTGCTCATAGACTTCATCTGAAATGCACAGCCATCTCTAAGTGAAAACCTTTGACAATATTCTAATCTCCTGCCCTCCCCTTACAAAGGAAATGCTCTGGCCAAAATATTTGTCTCCTATAAATAAGTTGATTGGCCAGAAAGGAATAAGTGCCAAATCTGCATCTTGAAGGGGTCGTGGGAATGAAATAAGCCTGTGCAATTAATGAAGACAGGAGGTAACCTTACATAGACCAGATGCTCACATCAGAAGAAGAGGGTCACAGAACAAACAAATCTACTTGATGTAAACAACAAAAAGGCTCGTATCTCTAAGGGACACATTTGAACAATTGGAAATTATAATTACCATTAGTCAAATGGCTACGCCCAGTCGGGGGACTTTACATACTCAGCGATGATTTTCCTTAGGGGAACATCTTCCTCCACCAAGTAATAGCAACTTGACTGATAAAGAGCATCATTTCTTGATATGTATCCCAATGATATTAGAAAGCTTCCAGAAAATTTGTTTCTGCTTAAGTGGTGTGTTACAATTATTAAACTGTGGTTTCTTATTAAATACAGGCCTTTAATATGTAATCAGAGGAAATTGCATCGAAGTATTATTTTAGCTCCCTAGTATTTGCATCTATGAGAATGTCCTAAAAATGCTTGCCAGCACTTTAAAATGTTTACTAATTTG